TTAAATTAGAATTATTTAATTCCCATATTGGAGGATCCGATACAACTTGTCAACTGGTTTGCTCAGTTTGTCCCTATCATTAAAATAATTATTATTTTTTTACTCAAACTTTTATTAATAAACATCTTGATTGTCTTATGCCAAATTTGTAATTTACTCTTTCGTATTCTTGTGAATGAGGATGTGCTTTCTAAATCTAGAATATCTACAGCCTTAATGATTTTGTTACTGCACTTCTTCAAAATACTTGAAAAAGATTTTTCTTTCGAGTTAATTGACAAGTAGACATTGAAGTTTGTAAGTAATTTCAAAATGATCACTAAAGTAAATTTTTTTTTTTTATCCCATTAAATCATGGAAGTATATAACGGTATCACAAATAGTCGCTCATTTAAAAAATGAAAGTAAAATCATGTGAATTACTATTAAGCGTCATGGTGAACTACGGAAGTTACATTGTACGCCATTTAAAAATTGTCGTGTTTCTATCTTACTTGTTTGCGTCAAAAATGATTTATGTAAAAAAACTATTTAATGCCATATTTAATATATTATTTTTTGATAACACTTTGCCATATTCTCAATTGTCAAATTACAATTTAGAAGCAAACGCAATGTTCATGTTCACCATCTTGTCAATGTCACACCACCGTAAAAATTAAAATGACCAATAAAACTGAAAATAAACATGTAATGTCAATACAGTTTCTTCTTACCAGGCCTAAATACCGTATATTCCCAACGTCGATGTCATCAAATGTATGCATCATTTTTCACTACAAAGAAAATGAACCTTGAACGTTGGATCTGAAATTCTCCATCAATCTATATGACCCATTTAAATTTTTTGAAAACGTGAAAAGTTCAACCTTCTAACGCATTTAGAGCTTGTTGGGTAGGGATTTTTTGAGGTAGGGATTGATTTTGAATAGTGATATGATGGGAAATGTGTGATTGAAAAAGAAGAAAAAATTATTGGTGTGATGGAAAATATCATTTTATTGAAGAATGTGTGGTTGAAAATGAGAATTGATTTACTGTAGAAAATGAGAAACCCTAGCAAACAGGCCCTTAGAATCACAAATTCCATATCATTCCGTCACATCATTAACAATAGACACAAAAAATAAAAAATAATGTAATGAACTTCCTA